CTGCTCTTAATGAAATATATTTTTGTTAATGGTGTATATTAAGTCTTTATGTTTGTTCTAATGTTTGTTTTGTGTATTTAGTTTCTGATCGTGTTAATACGAGTGATCATGCTCAGAAGACTTTTCTATGGGATTTTGCGAGGAATGCTTGGGTTATGAATAAAGAATCTAATGGTTTCAATTCTTTGTTTTTTGTTTTGAACACTGATTTTTTTTTTTTTAGAATACTAATTACACCGTTCTTACATATATTTATCTATGCAGAAGATAGTGACTCTGATGATACCGAGGTTTTATCGGGTCGTGGTATTGATGATGATTATGGTTTTGAGGATTATATGGGGTCTGATTCAGAGACGGGTGAAGATACTGATGATATGGACCAAACAGATGAGTATGATTCTGAGGATGATTTTATTGACGACGATGAGACTTGTGAAGAATCTGATGGTTCAAGTGATAGCTCAGAAGATGATAGCGGTGATGACGAAGATGAAGATGATGACGATGCCGATTCAACTGATGATAATGAAAATGATGATGAAGATGTTATGTTGGATGATGAGACTGATATTGACGATGATAGTGAACATCAGCGAAACGTCGAACTGAATGATATACTCATCGAAAAGAATATTAGTATATCTGGACACCAGGATTCGGTGTGGACTTATACAGTTTCTCTTGGTTCAATGTGTTTTGGTAGGTGTGTTTCACGTTTGAGTCCTTCCAAAGATGATTGTACTATCTTTGTTAAGGTTTTACAAACGTGGGTGCATATGCTAATTTCGAAACGTTCTTCTATGGAGCTCATATTGTCGGATGAACAGGTATTTATTGTACTATTACACAAAAATATTCTAAATTTTTGTCAGTGTCTAATTAGCTGTTTTATTCACAGGGTGTAAAAATTCAGGCCACTGTTAGTGATGGTGAGATCAGTGTTGCATCGTCTGCATAGATGTTGGTAGTTGGATTATTATCAGTCGTTTTTCTGTTATCGATTGTGAGGATAGTTGTAGACCGACTTCTCATAGATACAAAATATTGTTCATACCATCAACTATCATTGACAAGACTTCACGTAGATGTGAAAATGCCTATTTTGACTTCGTTGATTTTCAAAGGATATTGGATCGTGCCCATGATGATGACTATTTAGTTGGTGTGTTTATTTTTGATTTAGTTATTGAATTTCGTTATTATTATCTTACTGATGTTAACATTGTTTAATTTTTGTTGTCTATAAAGATTTGATAGGTCGTGTCTTAAATGTAAGACTATCTGGAACGTCCTGTGGTTTACTGACTGGAGAGCATTCTTTTCCTTCATATGGCAGTCTATGTAATGATATATGTGATTCCGAGATATGGGGTTCATACTCAACCGTCACGTTTCTGTCTTAAAGATAAACGGTACTGTCTGCTGAATGTTTTAAACTGTATAATGTCGTTTTAATTATTCTATCCATCTGAATATGCGTGGCATGTTTTTAATTTAGTGGTGTTGATTTGAGTTGTGAATTATTCGGTGAGATGGCGAAAAACTTTTATGCATCTTGGAGACGCTGTGATCAAGATATCATTGTGTGTGTGCTTAGATGGGCCGTTATTGATTATTTTGGAGGTATTTTTAGTATAATAATTTATATTCTCTATGTTCGTTTCGTTTTATTGTTTTGACTCTGTATTTGTTTTATCAACATAGGCAAGATCACTATATCTTCCACATCTCCTACTAAGTTCGAACTCAATCCCCGTATTCCTGAGTTAGATGAGTTTTTGGAACAGTGAGTTTCTAATACTTAATGTTTGTATTTTGACTTTTTGGTATTAATTCGTGGCCGCCTTCTCTCTCTCAACTCTTTTTTATAACAATGCAGATATCCGCGTAAGAGGCCATGCACGCGTGGTAGTGTGGCACGTCTACATTGAATAGTGTTATGACGTCTACATTGAATATCATTTAAAAAAATGATTTACCATGTATAGAAATTATAGTTTAATTATTCTTTGTTCTTCAGACCTCTTTATTTCAATCAATAAATATATTTTTTTAATGAAATTATTATTGTTGTTTGATATTGAAGTATAGAAAGCGGAGAAAATAATATAAGTTATATATTCATATAATAACGCATGTTTTTATTGGTTTCTTGGACTCCAAGTAACTCATATTTATAAATATTTAAGAGGATTCGAATATATCCCCGATCATATCACAACTTTTCGTTTTTTCCATTTAGTGTCTATGAGAATCATGGTGTTTGAATGGATTATTTTATTGATTTCTTGGACTCCAAGTAACTCATATTTATAAATATCTAATAGGATTCGAATATATCCCCGATCATACCACAACTTTTGTTTTTTTTCATTTAGTAGCTATGAAAATCATGGTGTTTGAATGAATTGATTAATTACTTATTAAAAAGGGAAAACTCGGTAGTTGAGAGGTGTATAAAATGTAAATAAAGGAAAACATTCTAAGAAACCCTAGAAAAAAATAAACAACGCGTAAACCACATAATTCTTATATCTCTATATATATGCATATATTTCGGTATAGGTATATATATGCGTCTATCGCGACTTCACGGGTTATCAGTCTGCATTGTTAGAATTGTTTGCATTTGGGTTCTTCGATGAAAGCGTTTGGTAAATGAGTTTTGTATTACGTTTTTGAGGACGTCACTAATCGTTAGTTTTCTTTACGGTATTCTATTGATTGTTGTTATTGTATATATGATTGTTGTTCTATTTTATATGTCTAGGTGCTCACAGGCGACCACGTGTTAATTGGCAAGTTATGCCGTTTCATCTCCCGGGAGAAAATATTGTGTTTTCTAATAATTTAGATAGACGTGTTGCTGCTAGAAAACCTAAATTCCTTGCTTGGTTTAGGTGTAATCAGTCTTATCCAGAGGCAAGGAATCTTTTATACTCGGAGATTCCTTCTATGTTTGTATGGGATCGTAAAAATAGGACATGGAGGCCAAGACTAAAAGGAAATTCTAGTGCTTGTGTTGTGGACGAATCGCCGACTGAGTACAGAGAAGAGTATTATCTGAGGCTATTATTGGACATAGTTAGGGGTCCACGTAGTTTTGATGATATTAGGACTGTTGGTGGAGTCGTTTATCCTTCGTTTAGAAGTGCATACCATGCATTAGTTCGTTGGTTGATTATCAGAAGACAGTAATTTTTTACCATGTTTTTTTTTAGTTTCTTTATCGTGGTATACTTATTTCTTATTTTAACAAAAGCAATATATAATAAATGATATTAGAATAATTATATATATCAGTTTTGTTATAATAATAAAGTTTAATTATAACATATTATTATTCCGCTTTTCCGTAATCTTATCGTTGCTTATATTTTGTCAAATTAAAATAAAATAACTATATATGATACGCCGTATATATAGAGTTGTTTATCATTCTTTTGGTGTTTTGCAAACTGCAAACTTCGGTCGGTGTATTTGTGATGGATAACTCATATCGTTGCTTTTCTTTTACCGAGTTCGAGTATATAATAGATGGATCATGCGACGTTAACAGTTGTGTGGGTAAGCTGTGTGTATTACGTATGTTCTTGTGATATGACACATATTATGTTTTGTAAGTTATAAATCGCTATAGTGTTGACTTGCCTTTTTATGTTTTTACCGTTAAGATCTAATTGGACGTGTTATGACTGTTGGAAACTAACAATATCCTTTTGAAAGCTACATGATGAACGAGATATATATCGAATTGGAGAATCAGAGGTATTGTGTATTATCATACTGTTTAGAATTCAGAGCTACTTATTTACAACTAATTTTCCGCTGATTGTTTTATTTTATAATTATTAGAAGATGTCGTCTACCATGTCGTTTGGTTGGTAATTTTGGTCGAGATTTTCTCGATGGGTTGACGCATTGTGATGATGATATGATAATATGTATCGTTCTGGCTGCAAAAGTTGATATCATTCGAGGTATTCTAAGGCTGGAATTTATGATACTTTCTCGAATATATATATAACTATATTAAAACTACAAGTGCTTGTTAAGTTATTAATTATTTCAATTTTTTTTTGTGATATAAGGTAATTGGATGGCTGTAGCGGCTCCTAATTACACACGGATAATGTTGGCACCAGCTATTCCTGAAGTAGTACGTCTCCGGGAGGCATTGGTGTCAACCGATCAATATTGATTTCCATTCCACAAATACATAAATCTTGGAATAACAGCCTATGAATTTTTTTATATCGTGTAAAACTACATTGCAGTTTTTTAGTTTGTTATTTTTCATTTTCTTCTCATATGAATTATCTTATATATCTCTGCGTGTGTGCGCGATTTTTACAATATATTATAGTAATTGTTCATTTAATATTTAGACTAATAATTGTTCTTTCATGCGATATGTTATTTAAGAATTATAAATGTTATATACAGAGGATAAATTATACAAATGATAAACCGTAAAAATATTTTGATTGATCGCATTTTATCTAATTTATTGTTACACTTAATTATTGATATGTATTATCATTTTTAGTAACTTAAACACATCTTTTAGGAATAATTCCTTAAATTGTTTTTCTAAATCGCTAATTATTTATCTATTAAATATATTTTCTACTTTGTATATACAATTACTGTAATGTTTGCCATTTTTTAAATTGAATTTAATTTCATGATGTTAATTTTCCGTTAAAGTATATCTAAATCGATATTATCTGAGTATTATTTTATTATTTTATACAGAGAATTAGAAGATTTTATCGTTTTTAACATTTTTAAAATAAAAAAAAAATAGAAGATTTGATCGTCTTTACCTTTTGTTGCGATATATGTATATTCTAAAAAAGTTGTAAATCATATCCGAACTAAGTCTAATTTACATATATATATCATGTCTCCTACTATATATATATAGATACCCATTCTTCGTCTTGATCTCTCCCAATCTTTTCTCTTTGTTATAATATCGTCTGGTCTAAACTATGTCGATTTTTAAAAGAAAATCAGCATCTAATGTTTTCGTTAGGGATTTACGTCCTGGCTCTGATAACTTTGTTATCAAAGTTAATATCCTCAAGATTTGGGATGGATTCAAAGGTAGAGGGGGGTGTTCACTTGAGATGGTCTTGGTTGACCAAGAGGTTAGTCCTATAATTTATGAATATCTCGGTTAGCCAATTATTTGTTGGTTAATTTTTTTTTTATTGTCCTTTGGATCTTAGGGTGATAGGATACAAGCAACTCTTGAAAGGTTTTTCGCTAAATCTTTTCGTAAAGATTTGATCGAGGGGAGATCGGTGATTATCAATACTTTTAAGGTTGTTGAGTATAATTCTGAGTATCGAACTACACGAACACCTTTCAAGATAGTGTTCTATGCAACTACGACTGTCTCTGTATGCTTGGATTTTCCTCAAGACGTTCTGAGAAATATATGAAAAGTTTTATAGATATTTTATCAACTGATTTGGACAATGGCTACTTGATCGGTAACATATCTAAACTGAGACGCATATTTTTAAAAATATTTTTATGACACGGTATTTTTTATGACACGGTAATTGTTTTGGTTCTTTCGTTTCGTCCTATTTTATTACAAACGCTAAGACGTGGTCGGACAAATCGTAAGAGTTGGTCATGTTGAGGACGTTATGGCTCAAGGAAAACGTCGTTCTAGACTTAAGATTTATCTTAGGGATGAGAGGTAACATACTTAGTTCTAATTTAATAATTTATTTTACTATGTGTTATTTTTTAGTTATATGATTTAACTCATGATCATTTATTAATTATAACAGCGATCTACAATTACCATGTACTCTTTGGGCTGATTATGCAAAAGAAGTTGCTGATTATGTTAAACGTAATTGCGCATCCGTCGTTGTGGTTATTATAAGGCTTGCGTGTATCAAAAACTATCGAGGTATATTACTTAATGATTTATACTGATTCAATTTTAGTGACGATTATGAAGAGTTTTATCATAGATTATATATATTTCTGATACATCGATTTATTTACACTTTTTAGGTGAGATGAGCGTCTCAAATGCTTTTAATACAACTCAGATTTTGTTTGATCCAGTTTGTCCTCTTGTGGTGAAATTCCGATCTGAGTAAGGATTTATTTAATGGAATTATAGTACGGTTTTATTTGTACGTATGTTCGTTTTACTATAATTAGTTTCTTTATTTTTTCCGTTTAGGTTGCCTCAAGATAAGTATATTCTCATTCCTAACGAAGATGATTCGGGTGTAGATTCTAAAGATTCATTAAACAATGAATTTTTGGGAACTAATATTAGGCGAAATTTAAGTTCTATACATTCGATCGATACGGTATGTGAATATGCGATACTCTATTATTTATGTTTATAAAAAAAATTTGTATATCGGTGGTTGTCGTTGATTATCTCGAGTAAGCAGGTTGGTAAGTATGTGACATTGGCGACTATACGCTCGGTTGCCAATAGTAATTCGTGGTATTACATAGCATGCAAGAAGTGTGAAAAAAAGGTTCATCCTATACCCGAGAGAGACCATGCTCCTTCGCCGCCGTCTTGGAAATGCATTAATTGCAATAGTAATGTTTATGAGTCTGAAGTTGTTGCTAGGTAGTCAATCTCTATTCTTTGAATTCGGCGTCCACATACTTTCTAATCTTTACGTCTTATATTTTTTATATTTATAAAATTAATTGTATAATTATTCTTTTATAGTTTCTTTCTGTTGTTGATTGTGGACGATGGTTTTGGAGGGACGGCAGTCTTTGTCGTGTTTGACAAAATTGCTCAAAAATTGTTTAAGAAGACTGTCGAGGAAGTTTTCGAAGAGTCTGTTGGGGTACACTTATCGTTTTATTTGATAAGCGTTATGATTATATACCTCAATTAAAATATTTTTGTAATATATTTTGTAGGATAATTCGTCTGGACTGCCTCAATCACTGCATGATCTAGAAGGAAAAGAGTTCCTTTTTAAGGTTGTTGTAACTGAAGATAATGTCAAAAAGGTTAAGAATTCGTTTTCGGTTGACCAGTTTAGATATGATGACTACATGATTCAGACGTTCTGTAGTCAGGTCTATTCTGAGGTATGCTTTTGATTCTTATTTTGTCTGGATATTTGGATATATAACTATGCATAACGGATTACTTATTTGATATGTTTTTTTTTTTTAGCCTCCGTTTTTGGAAACCTTCGTCGATGAAGATAGAGGATCACATGTTGAGAAAACTCTGCCTGCCTGTTCTAAAAGTGATTGTGATGATCCTCATGTCAATGTCGATGTAAATGCAGAAGATTCTATCGAGAAGATTGTACCTGCATCTTCTAAAAGTGACTGTGATGCTCCTAATGACATTGTTAAACTAAATACAAATGTCACACTCGAGAAGACAGCTCCTGTGGGTTCTAAAAGAGATCGTGAGGATCCTGACGTCATTCCTACTCCTGTCAAAACATCTGGATCTAGAAGGAAGAAGAATTCTATGTCATAGGATGTTTAGTGATAATGCGTTCGCTATTATATTATCTTAAATTTTATGTTTTGAGTTTTGGTAGAACCTTTTTATTGAGAATATTAATGATTTAGATTTTATGTTTACTTAATTTTATTTAATTTGAAAGAGTTGTTTTTCTTTTCTAAAATTAATTTGTTTCTATTCAATTTTATGTTTACAATCATCGCGTGTATCGCATATTCACATCATGTCTGTAAATCATTTTTTATCGCATTTATTTTGTTATGCTTATCAAGTTGATATTATGTCGATAATTCATTTATTATTCTTTTAGATATGATAGTGGGTTATAATCAATAAACCTTTTGAAGCGTTTTTTGTGATTTAGGTTTATCCTTGAACACATATACCTAACGTCCTGGAAACTGTCGTGACTTTGAAAACTGATTCTATTGCGACCCGATTCATATAAATCTAAACTCTGTCCTTTTTTTGTTGTAATTATCAAAATTAATAAAATGTATATATATCACGATATAGTTAAATAAATATCGTGATATATATATATATATATATATTACGATGATAATATTTGTACGAATAAGTATCCAGTATATGTAACAAATGAATTATATATTCAGTTTTAATGATTCTCGAAGATTCTAGAGAAGATTTATTCTGTTATATTTACGTGTGCGTATATTTATGAAATAAAACAAAAATGTCAAATATTATCAAATAAAAACAAAAATGTCAAATTTCCAATAGAAAAAATGTCAACATTATAATAAAACCCTAGAATACTCGGTTATATATAGATGTAGTGTCATATCGTGGTTTATTCTATTCTTTGCTGTGTACTTTTTCTTTATACCTCTATAATGAACTCATCAGGTGCGATATATACTATACATCCACTTGATATCGTATACTATACATCCAACGTTATATCGTTTTGTGTTTATTAAGTTCTGCTTTCATATTTATATTGGTTTGTAACTTAGATCTAATTATGTTTCGTAGGTGCAAATACACGTGGAAGTGTTCGTCTAAACGTTTTGCCTTTCCATCTTCCTGAATCTGAGATTGTGATGACTGATGAAGGCGAGAATCTTGGTCCTAATCGAACATCTAAATTCACGGCTTGGATGAACTGCAACAAAAAATACCCGGAAGCTAGGATGCTTACGTATTCAGAAATTCAAAGTCAATTTGTTTGGGATCGTAAGCAAAAGTTATGGAGACGAATTGTCATTGGTGACCCTGGAGTCAGTGTTATAGCAGATTGTTCGGATGGATCTGACGAGGCTTATTATCTCAGGATTTTGTTGGCTGTTATAAAGGGCCCATGTTCTTATGAGGATATTAGGACTGTTGCTGGTATCGTGTATCCTACCTTCAAGGATGCATGTCATGCGATGGGACTAGTCAATTTATAAATTTCATAAGTTAAGCATTAGGATTTTAAGTTATTTTTTTATTTTTTATTTAATTTTATATTTTCATATGGCATATTACGATTACTAAAATGTTTTCGTTATAATTAATGAAATTACTAAGGTTTATTTTAATATCGTATTTTTATCAAAAAGTCTCCTATAGTTTACCGTCATAAGAAAAAACAAAACATGGTTTCCGAGTTGAAATTATGTTATATTTATAATGTTTATGAATTGATGTTTTTCTTTTCTTTCGTCTCACGGATCAACCCTAGCTTATTTTTGGAATATTTCCAATGAATATATCATCATTTGATCCGTTGTAACTCCGAAGGGAAATTTACCTTATCATAAAATAATAAAATAAACTTTTATGTGAAAATGGATCTTATATATATTTATCGTATTTTTTTATTAACAAAAAAAGTTAATTTTAGTTGGAAATTGTCATTTAATTTTATTAGTTTTGACGAATCGTTGCTTAAGTATATAAAACCCGCCTTTAAAAGCAGAACCGTCATTTCTAAAGTATTTTAAACACGCCTTTTAAAACATAACCGTTCATTGTCTCCGTCTTATAAAAAGAAACGTTCATTTTTATCATCTTTCATCTCCAAACTAAATAAAAACAACGAATGTCTCCATGTAATAGAGTTTCTGAACTTCAGAAGATAAACAGCGAGCAACGTATTTTTGTCCAAGTAGTTAGAAATTATTATGATTTTACTCTCATTGGTTGCCCTAATCGGATTTTAGTTCTCGCTGATGAATTTGTAAGTTTATGAGATTTTAAAAGATTATCCCTGTTCATGTTTTGGAAATGTAATCGTTTATTGATTCTTTTTTACTAAAACTGTGTAGGACAATCGCATCCTGTGTACCATGCCATTTGAAATAATTGACAAATTCGAGGATGTGTTGCTCGAAGGAGAGTGGTATTTTTTTTGGTAATTTTGCAGTTACAGACAAATTACCACATCCAAGTATATCATCAAACAACTGTCATATACGTATCAACGAGGGTACGATCACTGAGAAAACCGATCCGAAGTCTTCCAGAGAAATATACTCTTTCTGTCCATTCATAGATATTTTGTTTGCATCCATTCAAACAGAACGATATCTTGGTAAGTATCTTACATGCATGTTGTTATCTTGGTTTATCTCATTAATTGAGAAATGAATTTTTTTCTAACTTAGTTGTTTGATTTTTCAGTTGATCTTCTCGGGGTTGTCACTTTTGTTCAGAAACTTCAAAGAGGAGTTCATATGTCCGATACATCGGATACACCCACAGAACGTCCACTTATTCGTTTTGTACTCGAAGATCTCGGGTAAGTACAACTTATCCTCAGAGTAACTGGTGTCAGATTTGTGTTTCTTGATATATTAAAATATGTTAATTATCTTCTATGTTGGTGTAAATATATACAGTAGAAATTCCTTGAAATGTATTGCTTAGGATAACTTGGCAACGAAATTTGAAGAACTTTGGACGAATCGTGATAAGTCTTCAAGGCATATTATTGTATTGCGATTTTTCTCTTTCAATAGGTGGAGGGGTACGTAAATATTAACTATTAATATCTATTCAATATGGCAATTAATCAGAAGTTTAACAGATTTATTGTTTTCACATGCATACTGAATATGTATATGTTATTAGATGAGTGGATAGTTGAATCGGAAAGATTCATATCTGATATTCTCGAGGATCCTCCTACTCCAGAAGTGGCAATAGCAAAGATGAGGTATGTAGATTCCAATTTTGATTTTATATCCTGTATATGTATTTTATTGACATCTATTTTATGATTTTATAATATTGTCATATTGTACCAGGCTTGAAACTGCAGTTGATTTTACCCCTTTGAATGATGAATATGAAGATCAGTTTCCGTAGGAAATATTAAATTTTTATTTCGTTTTTTATAGGTTGTGTATTTGAACAACATAGCTATTTTTTATTTTTATTGTAATACATAAAATATTCAATATCTATAAACTTCACTATAAACTTCATCTGTTTCGCAAAGCATCTCATTTTAGCGTTTTTTTTTATTTACAAAGAATATCACTTTTTGTTTTCAATGCAATATTGTGTTCTTAGTCCATTGACACTGTTGTTGATTTAAAAGTATTATAATATTTTACTAGAAAAATAAATATGTATATATATAATAAACATATATTTTAAAAAATTGAAAAAAGCAATGTATACGAAAATAATAATATGAGGAGATTTTTGATATAGTACCATCGTTTATTGAATCAAATGATAAAAACATATAAAAAAAAAGAAAATAAAACATGCGAAAAAAGAAACTATTCAAAAATTTAATATAATACCATTGTCTGATTCCGTGATTGTGGTCCGCATTCTCTCGACTTCTAGTAGGTTAGGGTTTAGTAAAATTTCGGTACAATCGTATGCAGTTATCGCTGCCCAAGCATGTGCAAATTTGAACAGTTGCACGAAACGTATAACACAAATGTTAATTTTGTGTTCTTTCCGTGATAAAGCAGTCATCAGGTCCAGTGCATAGTCGTTCCGTAATAACACTTGCAATCTAACATCTCTGTTGGACATATAATAATCATATAATGTAGTAAAAATTGATAATTACAGTGATTGCAATTGAGAAACATATTTAAAAAACTTACGATTCGTTACGGAGTTCCACGTAAACATTACCCCACTTTCTTTGGCTCTTGGAGGATTTGTGACTAAATGTTCCAATCACCGCGATGTGTCCAATTATATCTAATAAAAAGATTAGTTGAGAAAGTTTATAGATATAAAATAGCATATATTTTTTGTTATTATTTATTAATTTATCTAAAGTCATACCAACGAAAAACAATGGGTCTCGGAGATTGTTGTGTATGTTACCAAATTCAACGATACTTAGGTAGTTGTTGTTATCATAGAAAGGGATCTTTGAAAAATAAGTTTGAGAATTCCATATTATTTTATAATTGTGCAACGTCGGCCTCAAGTCTCCGATGACAGGGACTACACCAAAACGGTAAAGAATAATTGAATCTCCTTGCTTCACTTCTGATGTAAAACTGTCTATAAACCCTTTTGATATTGATCCATGTATTTTATCACCCTAAAAAAAACAAAAATATGTATATCAGAGACGTGATATGCACAAAAAATATAAAGTCACCGGAATACCTTTTTATCAACCAACACCAAATCTAAAGTGTTATCAGGTTCACCGATGTGCTCGAACATATGCAGTATTTTCACACGAATACGTCGTAGTTGAATTGATGGAGTTATATTGGAGACATTGGTGTAAGTCATATTTTTCATTGCTAAAAGACAAGCAGCGATCGACATGATGTAGTGCCTATAAAACCTAAAAAGTAGTCGTCATATATAACTCGGTAATGCTAATACGTCGTTTTTATATATAACGATATATTCCTAATACCAATTGGAAAATTGTTATAATTATAATAGTATATTATAATAGATCCCTAATACAAATCGGAAACGGTATCCCTGTGATCGTGATAAATTTTCTATCAAGGTCCTATGTTATCCTAAAAATGTAAAATAAGCATTAAGGTATCTCAAAAATGTAAAATATTCGATATATCCTTTTATTTTAAATTGTATAAATAGGAAACAAATGTTTGGTTTAAGTATTGTCTCTGCTATGTTTATTTAAGTTATCTTTGGACGTAATTGTTGTAGTTGTTTTGAGGCTCTGGGTTTGCGTTTAACCTAAATGGCTTATTTACTATCTATCGCCGCCGTGTATAAAAAATATGATCAAAATCTGTTTGGAATTTCCGAACTCGATCCTACCAAACGTATATGGAAGACTAAGTTGAAAGTCTTACGTAAATTTAAAAGATTTCCTGAATGTGACCGCACGTTAGACTTTATAATGGGGGACTGGAAGGTATAACACATCAATTTCATTATTATATTTTAGTTTTTGTAATGATAAATGTCTGAATGTTTTATTCCATACTTCTCAGGGACAGAAGATTTATGTAACTGCACCGATTGAATTTTATGATAAGTATTCGAGGATATGTAACGAGGGTGATTGGGTTCTTCTAATAAATTTTAATCTATTGCCTCTTACTGGTGAATTTAAGCCAAGTACACATCCTTATATGATTCAACTTACCAGTGATACAACATGTGCAAGCTCTTATACTTTAGATATCAATGGTTATTTTTCGTTCGTTGTTTTCGAAGATATTATGAATGGGACTATTGATTTTAACTACTGTGTGGGTGAGTATTCTGTGTATTTTTCATTACCGATTTCTCATGCAGTTGATTATTTGATATTCATTTTTTTTTTTAAAACAGATCTAATCGGTAAGGTTGTCAACGTTGGAAACTCTCACGATAGAATTGGATCCTTAGGATACTCTAGACAGCCTATAATAAGATTTGATCTCGAAAACGAAAGGTAATCTATTTTATGTTAATAGAATTTAAAAAACGAATTTTTAAGTTTAACTCAGACTGTTATTTGTTTGATGGGAAACTTAAGGAACCGACGTTTATCATGTTTTTTGAAAGGTGATTATGCTGAAACTTTTCTTCGTGAGTTGGGTGGATGTAAACAAGATGTCATTATTTGCATCATTCGTTTTGCGAAGATAATTTTTCGACGAGGTATATTTTTATTTTTTATATGAGATGGTTGTAAAGTATATGCGATAAATATGATTTGATTTTCGTTTCTTCGATAATATAGGGTGTTTCTTGGCAACTACGTCGTGTGATTGCACACAAGTTATTCTAAATTCGCCATGCTTCGAGGTCTATCAGTTTCGAGAGTTGATATCCAGTCGTTAAACCCTGATGTTACGAGTTCCGTGCTAATGTTTTAGGAATTATTTTATATCAATTTTTATTTTTAGGTTTTGTGGTTTGTGTTAAACATCGTATGTGATTTGAATAAAACTTGACTTGTGATGTAGTGTATGAAAATAAGATTTTTTAATTATTATTTTCATGTATGGATTTCGATGTTCATAGTTATCCCCAAAACGCCTGCGTAACGAATTGTAGTATAATTGTCCACTGGAAAAAAAAATATGTGATGTAATTTATTGGATGATATGTTAAATAACCATATTTTTGGGAGAATATTCAATTTCTAAGAAATATAACGATAGTCTTTTCGGTTTTCGTAAAACATTAGGATAATATATTTGTTGTAATGTAGAGATATATTTTTAGGATTAACTCTGCATATTTGGAATAATAAATAATTATTTATAGATCCGCGTTATTGTAATGTAGAAGTATTTCAATAGTATTTTAACATTATCACGAAAAATATAAATTTTCGATATTAGAGAAGATAGGCATATTATCGCGAAGAATAAGTAATGTTAACATTATCGTGCGGTTTTCTATTTCGAAATCCTTTTTATTACCAAAATCTTAATTTATTATGAGAAGCGAAAATGTATATTTTGCATTATCGCGCAATATAATATTTCATATATATAGTTTGTTAATGATTGTGTATTTTGATCACACATTATTATTTTTTTTTGTTCGTGCTGTTCACCAGAAAAAATGAAACGTAAGCTTGGGCGTCCTCAGAAAAAAAGTTCATCTTCGTCGATTGCTCCAAATAAAGGTGTTTTTTAAGTAAATTACATTTTTAAGACATTTACGTGTTATAAATTTGCTTACTATTAATTGTAATTTGTAGGTGGTAATGCTAAGAACGCACGATATGCTCCTACCAGTGTAACCGATAGAGACCAACATGGAGGTTTGTTCAGTTACAATATCAATGAAGTTCCTGATCTAACACCCTCGGGAATTCGTAATGCACAGCAGAGACGAATGCATATCATGCGTGAGAGGAGAAAAAGAAAAGAAGCTATTGGTTTGATCTTCTTTTTCGTAATTACAATGTTTATTAATAATTATATGCCTGATTTTCACTTATTATTTTTTCCGTAAAAAAAAAAAAAACAGATCTTTTGGCTACTTCTATCAACACCAAAGAGTTTGCTTGCTTTATTGCTACTAATTCTGAGTCCGATATGGATAATGATGAAGACTCTATGTCGGAAAGTGAGGATGTGGAAAAATCGAGGCCTGGTAATAAAAAGAAAGGAAGACCCAAAAAAGGTGCTAAAACCTCTGAATTTTGTGATGGGGATGCAACAGAGACCGTTGTTACTAGAACAGATTTATTAGAATCAGTTAGTCCTGGTCTGAAAGATGGAGGTTATGGTTTTTATTATACTAATATATTTCATTCAATACATAATATATAACTACTGTGTAATTAACATTAAGCAATGAATATTATTTTAATTAGGTTATTACGACGATGGTGATCCTATATATATATGTGGTAATTGTAAGGCTTATATGTGGTATGGAGAGAGGTTGGGTAAACGATATCGTCGTGGGAAGCCTATATTCTCCATGTGTTGTGGTCAGGGTAAAGTCGTTCTTCCACTTCTTAAAACCCCTCCGAAATCCTTATTAGCATTGATGTATAATGATGGTGATTTGCGTGATCACTTTTGTGAGTTTATCCGGGCGTATAATATGATGTTTTCTTTCACTTCTCTTGGAGGAAAAATAAATAAAGAAATCAACGACGGGAAAGGTCCTTACATTTTCCAAATGAGTGGGGAGAACTACCATTCTATATGGGAGTTGCTACCACCTCCTGGAAAAGAACCAGCTTTTTTACAGCTATATATATATGATACCGCAAATGAAACATCTAACCGAATAGCTGCTTGTGGGTATGATTATTATTCTTTTGGTTTATATTAAATTTAATCATTGAGATCAATTTTAAAACATATATGTATTGTTATTAAATGTTATATGGTTTTAACTCTTATAAGAATTTATTTTAAAAAATTTACAGGAAAACAGGACCGGCTGATAAATTGCGAGTGAAGGTTGTTGAGAAAATAAAAAATATGCTAGATAAACATAACAAACATGTGGATGCATTACGAAACGTTCGAGAAAGGTTTGATCCTAACGATGATACAAGCCGGTTAAGGATAATTTTAAAGTGTGACAGGAAAAGCGATGGAAGGACTGAGAATCTACCAGCTACTAATGAAGTTGCTGCATTGATACCTAATGATTTCAATGGTGAGGTAGATGCACGTGATATCATCATCGAGTGTAAAAAGACTGGAAATCTCAAAAGGATCAGTAAACTACATCCTGCGTATCTGCCTTTGCAATATCCATTATTGTTTCCCTATGGTGAGGACGGGTTCAGACTTGGTATCGATATTGGTTTTGTAGATACTCAAGGGAGGAAAAGGTTGCATATTACTATGAGAGAGTTTTTTGCTTACCGCATACAAGAGAGGGTTGGTGAGTCACCAATCATCCCTTTATCTGGAAGATTGTTCCAGCAGTTTTTAGTGGATGCGTTCACGATGATTGAGACTAATAGACTACGTTTCATATCAATGAATCAGTCTAAACTTCGTTGCGAAAATTATGACAAAATAAAGAAAACTTTTGATGGAGGTGACACTGATCTTTCTGACAAGGGTAAACGTATTATTATACCTTCTTCTTATACTGGTGGTACAAGGTATATGGTGCAACACTATCTAGATGCGATGACTACTTGCCAGCATTTTGATTTTCCGGATCTTTTCATAACCTTTACGTGTAATCCCAAATGGCTTGAGATTACCAGGCACCTAAAAAGACATAACTTGAAGCAAGAGGATAGACCAGATATATGTACGCGAGTGTTCAAGATGAAACTAGATGATCTCATGCACAGGCTCACCAAAGAAAATGTGTTAGGTGTCGTAAAAGCCGGTATGTTTTATTAAACTAAGTATCTTATTTCGTTTAGCAATATAATGTCCATAACATTGCTAGATGATCATGCTAACTAATCTTTTAAAAACTACCATTTATTCGTTGCAGCGATCTACACGATTGAGTTTCAAAAACGGGGGCTACCTCATGCACACATCGTTCTTTTTTTAGAAGCTGGTCACAAGCTACCAACTGGTGATGACATTGATAAGATAATATGTGCTAAGATTCCTGACAAGGATATTGATCCAGCGCTGTATGAGATAGTAGGAGATGTTATGATGCATGGTCCATGTGGTGCTTTGAATAAGGATAGTGTTTGCATGGCTGAAGGAAAATGTACAAAGTATTTTCCAAAACCTTACAGTCCGATCACTAAAATAGATGATGTTGGATATCCTATATACAGGCGACGTAATGACAAGAAAGTTATCGTTAAAAAGGGTATTGAATGTGATAATGGATTTGTGGTTCCTTATAATAGGAGTCTCACACTGCTTTATAGGGCTCATATCAACGTCGAATGGTGTGTACAATCTCGATCAGTAAAGTATCTATTCAAATATATTCATAAAGGTGCTGACTACATTCGTGCAACTGTCAAGAATGATGATAAAGAAAACGAGATTAAGAAACACTTCAATTGTAGGTATGTTTTAAACATTTTGTTCACATATTTTATATCTTTGAAATTCCAATCTTCCATTATTTAATAATGTCTTTCTATGTAGGTATGTAGCACCTTCGGAGTCTACGTGGAGAATTTTCCGTAATCATACTCACCATCGCACGGTTTCTGTAATTAAACTACCCTTTCATTTACCGAATCAGCAAATGGTCATATACAACGAGGATGATCCAGGTGACGAGGTTATTAATCGTGTCTCAGTTGGTACGTCAAAATTCATTGCTTGGATGGAGTGCAACGATATGTATGAATTGGCGAGGACGTTAACTTATGTGCAATTTCCTACGAGATTTGTGTGGAATAACACAAAGAGAATATGGACGCCACGATCAAGGAGAGTTGCTCTTGGTAGAATCACGTACGTACCCATTGGGGCAGGTGAAGCGTATTATTTAAGGCTTCTGCTTAATTTAGTCAAAGGATCACGTAGTTTTGATGATATAAAAACGGTCAACAAAGTTCTACATTCTTCGTTCAAAGACGCTTGCTATGCGTATGGATTATTGAATGATGACAAAGAATATATTGAGGCCATCAATGAGGGTGGCTTGTGGCTTTCTGCCAATTATCTTCGTCGTCTTTTTGTGATGCTGCTCACTACTCAAAGTATATCCATTCCTTCTAGAGTTTGGGATGCTACGTGGCAGGTATTATCAGATGACATCATATATAATTACAGAAAAGCTGCCAGTGATCAAAGTAAGTCGTATAGTTATTGTTTGCGTTGTTGTTATTATATATCTTTAAGATATTGATAGCTAATTTATCTTTTGTAATTTTTTTGAAATTGTGTAGCTGTTAGTCTATCTCAGGAGCAAGTTAAAGACTTTACTCTGGTCGAAATAGAACTTCTTTTACGTGTAAGTGGGAGATCCTTAAAATAATTCACACCTATGCCGTTTCCTGAAGATATTACTCTGGAGTCACGTGATAATCCTCTTATTCGGGATGAGAGGAATTACAATCGTGAAACTCTTAGAGTAAGAAACGAGTAGATGTTAGCCACTGTAACAAGTGAACAGAGAAGTGTTTATGATGAGATACTAGAAGCATTAAATAAGAACAAAGGAGGTATGTTCTTTGTTTATGGTTCTGGAGGTACTGGTAAAACTTATTTGTGGAGTCTATTAGGATCTGTTCTACGTTCCCAAGGTGATGTTGTTCTCAAGGTTGCATCGAGCGGGATTGCTGCGTTGTTATTAGAAGGAGGCCGAACTGCGCATTCAAGATTTGCAATCCCTATTGTGGTTAATAAGTTTACCTTCTGTTCAATCAAGAAGGAGTCGAATCTTGCCGACCTGATAAGGGTTGCTAAACTCATTATATGGGACGAGGCGTGGATGATGAGTAAAGACTGTTTCGAGACTCTAGATAGAATGATGCGTGATATATTAGAAGTTGATAAGCCCTTTGGTGATAAGGTCATTGTTTTAGGAGGGGATTATAGGCAAATATTGCCAGTGATTCCAAATGCCGGGAAGACAGAGATACTTATGGCCACTTTGAATTCGTCACCTCTGTGGCACAAATGTAGAGTGTTGAGACTTACACAGAACATGCGACTTATATCTGGAGATAATAGCCGTGCGATGCTTGAACGAGCTGCCTTTACAAAGTGGATCTTAGACATTGGTGATGGTACGATAAATGACGATGGTAGTGGTGAAGCCGTGATTGATATTCCTGATGATCTGTTGATTAAAGACTGTAAAGATCCTATAAAAACGATCGTCAAAGAAATTTATGGGAGTTCGTTTTCGAAAAAGACTGATCCTAAATTTTTCCAAGACCGTGCCATACTGAGTCCAAGAAACGATGATGTAGATACGATAAATGATTATATGCTTTCAAAGTTATCGGGTATGTTTATTTTGTTTTAATTCCTCTTAGTTTATTTGTTTATATTTATATAATACGACGGTTGTTTTGTATATAACAGGTGTTGAAAGGACCTATCTTAGCTGTGATAGCATTGATACGACTGAAGAAGTTGTCAATTACAATGATGCATCTGAAGTACCCTCAGAGAGTGTAGCCAGTAAGAATAAAGGTGATTCCAACAACATGATTTATACCGAGAAGTTTTTAAATAGTATCAAGATGTCTAGTTTCCCTAATCATGTCCTGAAGTTGAGAGAGGGTACTCCTGTAATGCTTCTAAGAAATATCGACCCTAAGAATGGGTTGTGTAATGGCACAAGACTCATCATTATTAAGATGACTAATTATGTTCTCCAGGCTCAGATAATAACAGGTAGCAAGGTTGGTGAAAAGGTACTGATTCCTAGGATATTCCTCTCTCCTTCGGAGATGAAACTTCCTTTCAGGATGAGACGCAAGCAGTTTCCTATCACATTAGCTTTTGCAATGACTATAAACAAAAGCCAAGGACAGACACTCGAAAAGGTTGGTTTGTATCTTCCAAGACCGGTTTTTACTCATGGGCAACTCTATGTCACTGTATCGAGGGTTACATCAAGAGAAGGTTTGAAGATATTGATCACCGATAAAGACAACAAACCACAAAACAAAACATTGAATGTCGTCTACAAGGAGGTTTTTGACAAGATATGATATTTCTTTTTACTGTGTTTTGGTTTGTGATATGTTGTCTCTATGTATCTCGAAATATGTTAGTTCTTTTTATTGTATAAGACCATTACATTCGGTTTTATAGTTTTTAATAGATTTAACGTTTTTCGATTTTTCACTAAGTTGGATCTCATGTATTAATGGTTTAATCTCTGATTTTTAACTGTAGTCGGATAATCCAGTGACAAACTCTATTCGATAACATATTTTAACCAAACTTTAATTGTAGCATATTATTGGGCATCCATTGACATTTCATCGAGAATGCTTCAAAACCAAATTATCATGTCATCGAAATAAACTTAATAGTTTTTAGAAAATAAAACCAAGTACATACTGTCTTTAAAGTGATCATTACAAACAGAAGAAAAAAAAACATGAATTTGGTTTGAAACTGATATTGTTCTTGATTAAACTCCAGATCTCCTCTTTTTTCGTTCCTTCTCCTTTCTCTTTAAACACAGACACAAACAATCCGATTTAGATTTTTGTAAAACTATGAAGCTTTGAACTAACTCAATATTATATTTAAACATGAATTGTTTCTACAACATAGAGTTCAATGGGCAATCAATAACAAACTATAATGACTCAATAACATAGATTTTAGACAATTTTTCATAATTTAGATCTAAATATATTTCTGATCACGTACCCATTCGGCGTTATCCATGTGACGAATTTCTGTCTCCACAAAACCGCAACGCATGCACTTCTACCCTATCTCCAGATCTAGAATCAGGTCGTGTTTTCGTTTTGTGCAACTTGATTGGGGTGTCTCATTAGATGTGTTGCCTTTGTCATCCTCCATAAGTAGAATATACAGATTTTATTATTCATTGTGTAAGACATGATTAAAACAAACTTTAGTAAATAGGATGTATTACCTGAGGAGTGTTCTGTTTGGCTTTCTGATTTGATGCGGTGAATAAGTGTATTTGTTCCCATAATTCTTCTTGCTCTATCTCGGAATCTGTTGGTGAAGGTGGTGAGTTTGGTTCCACGACACCAAATCTCATTACCAATGGTGGGGGATTGATGATCAACAAACCATTTTCATCGAATTTTTTTTCGTTTGTGTTCGCCATCTTCTTATGAATTCTCTCAGAAACGATAATGGTACTTGAAAAATATTTTAAAGTTTTTTTAAAAGAAACCATCAAGTCAGTATTTATAAGGTGTGCAATAATAATCAATCTTCACATTTTTCAATTTTTTTATGGGGAAGATTATGCGACTTTATGTTTGCAACTAACCGTTTGACTTTCCAGGTTTCCTATTTCATATAATTTTAAGGAAAAATGCTCAAGTAGAAACATAAAGTTATAACGTAAAAGTCTACATAAATGGCATTTTTTGTTATGATGTTGTATGAATATGTCATCTCCTAAAATATTGAAACATAAAATTGTCCAAATAACATAAGCCATAGAGAGAGATCATATTATTTTATGGAAAGTGTTGCAATTTAGCAAAAGTTTATATTTAGTAAAATAGTATATTTACTTATTGAGATTGCGTGTATATTTGGTGAAACTTAAAACATGGAATATATTCTCTTACCAGGCACGTGAAACGAACAAATCGGTCAATATCAATATGGAAGTGTCTTGACATAAATTAGTGGATTGTTGTTGGTTTTAACAGTAAAGGGGCTTTAAATGGTAACTGTTCAAATTTTTTCTCTTAAAATAATTCAAACGAAAATAAATTTATAAGAAAGAAAGATAATTCAGACAAAACCACATCGGGCAAAGTAAGATAATTATTTTGACATTAACCCTACTCCCTTAATATAGTTTTTTGTGATACTATATTGTTTACATATATGCTTAAATATTAATTTCAGACTCGGGTGAAGATACGAAACGATGTGCATGATTATGATTTAGCTAATGTAAATTTTCATTGCAATAAAATTGTCATTTAACATATATAGATGGTTTTATAGTAAACTATCTTAATAAATGAGAATTGGAATATTAACATAATTTAAAATAGAAAAATCTCAATATATATATATATCTATTTATTTTACTCGAAGATAATATTGTTTCTTTATCTATATTTATCCTGAAATGTTAATATTCTTAATTTTCGGTTATATATTAATATAAAATCACATTTTTTCTTATAAATATACTCTAAATTGCATAACCCTAAACGATAGGCATCACGCAATGGCGGATTATGATTTTGTTCGTCAATTGGACTCTCAAAGATCTGACTGCAGAATTATAGTGAAAATACTCAAAAAATGGGTGGTGGATTACTCGGACGATAATCGAAGTCTAAATTTCATTCTGGTCGATGAAAGAGTAAATTTCATTAACTTAAAATGTTATTTGTGATAATTATTATTGATTTTGCTTATTGTTTTAACATACAATAATTTGTTCTTTTGTTGATCTAATGTTATCGTATAAACTTCTAGGGTTGTAGAATACAGGCTCGGGTAAACAATCAAATGATGGAGCATTTCAATCAAATATGCGAAGAAGATCAATGGTTTATGTTGACTCGATTTTTTTTAAATCCTTACAACTGGACTAATATCCAAAGTATTACAAAACACGATTACGTTATTACACTGACACAGGGAACAACGATCTCACCAGCTTTACCATTAACAAATAATTCGTTCTATAATTTTGCATCATTCCTCTCGATTTATGAATTCCCAGATGCTCATTATTATCTAATTGGTAATAATATTTTGGTATCTTCTTATAATGCAAAATATATAGTTCGCACTAATGTCTTAATTTTGACTAATTACAATCGCAGATTTGATTGGAGTCGTTGAAGATGCTAGATATTTTACTATTACATACCCGGATGGGACGACTACATCATCAATTCGATTTAATATAATAGATGATGAGTAAGTATATCTCAAACTGTAGGTTTTTGAAGTTTAGCTAATTAATTATTAACTACATTCTTTGTCAAAATATAGGGAGTACATGCTAGAATGTGTTGCACATGGTGAGTTGGCAACTGAAATAAGAGATAAGTGTAGAGAATACGAAGGTCCCTTTGCTATATGTGTGTTAACCGATTGGTGTGTAGCAATTGACGGGGGTATGTTCTCTGATGATACATCAATGTGTTATTTATAAAATCGTTGTATATAACATAACAATATTCTAATATATATGTTTTAGAGAATGTGTCTATCAAGGATCATGATGATGATGGTGTGTCCCGTTTTATCACTGATTCACCTATTGATGAAGTTTTGACCTTGCGAAATAGGTAAGTATATTACGATGTGTTGTTTAAATTGACTTATGAAAAAAAATATATGTATATTTAGATCTACATGATTTTGTTATTGAAATTTCAGGATTAGAGAGAGATTATATGGGCTGGATACAGATGATGTCTAATGGTTTGGGCCGATTCGAATGATTCAAAATCGATAATCCATATATATTATTAGTTTTGTTAGACACTTTTTTTTTGTATTTACAAGACTGTTTTAGGTCAAAAAATTTCGTGTTATAACCAAAATTCGACTCTTCCTTTAACAAATAAAATGTGTTAACCAATAATCTATTTAGAATATTCATCATAAGTTGCAACTTTCCAAAAATGGAACATTTTTCTTTTGAAAAATACGTAAAATAAACTGATTCACGCGACACTTTCCATAACCGTTATTTGGGTGTTATATATATCCCCATTTTCTCATATACATTGTTAAAAATAAACAACAAAGTAACCCTTCTCCCCAACTGTTTCTTTGGCTTTATAAAAATATTGTCCAGGAAAATTACGTTCACTGGCTTCATGTAATAATTGTATACTGAAGAAACTATTGTATTTTTTGATTATTTTTGACTTGGTATGCTCGCGTATCTCGGTTGCGTGTATGCTTAGTACACCAGATGCAATTAGATTTTATTCTCTCATATTGCATGCTGCTAATGTCTCAAAAAGGTACATTAACGGATGAAAAGACGCCTTTGACAGACAATTGTTGTCATTTAAAATAAAATCTATAAATAAATTAATCTTTATTTTAATAATACATATTCAATGTTGTATGTTTCCATAAGTTTATTGGGTTGAAAAGGAAATAACTGTCTAGAATGTAACGCGTATATATATATGTGTTCTCTTTCCTTATTTTTTGTTTTACTTTTCCTTTTGTGTTCTTGACAGAGAAAAAAAAAATGTCTCATGTTGTTGATATCTCTAGGTTAGATTATTACACCACCGGCGGTGAAGTTTGTGTGCAAGTTGTTCGACTCTGGAAGAATGTAAATTTCTTTGGTGATACAATTGAGATGATTCTCGCTGATGATCGGGTATTTCGTTATGTAGTTGTTATTTCTTTATATATTTCATAGGGTTGTTTTTAAAAGCAATTTTTCTTTTGGATTTTACACTTGAACTTATGCGAAATCGATCTTAGGGTCATCGTATCGGCGCAACTGTCATGCCCGATGAAATCGCTCTGCATGGACCTGTACTTAAACAAGGTTACTGGTTTAGGGTTCGTCGATTCGTTGTTAAGTAGGCCAGTGGTTCGATATGCATAACCGTAAACAGGCATCGGTTTATTTTCGAATCTCATACGGTCGTGATTCCTATCTCTCCAGTAACCCATAATTTACACTTGCATCTCAATTGCACACGCTTCTTTGACATCGTGACTCGCGGATTAGATTTTGAGTTTTTAATTGGTAATATTGGTAACCATCTGTTAGTTTTGTGACAATTTTAGTATAATATATCGTTTTGTTAATATCACTTTTTTTTTGTATTCGATATAGATGTAATGGGAACCGTGTTGAAGATGGGTGATCTCTGTGAGATAAACAGCGATGCTTATGAGGATAATGCAACATCTCTTCGATTCGAACTTCTTGATGCAGGGTAAGATCTATGAGCTTATATCCATATGTCGTTTGTTTATGCAAAAAAAAAAAAAAAAACAATGTATCGTTTTGGTTTTATGACATCTAAACTGG